GCCTGCAGCAGAGTTTAAGTGTGGTGGATATCCAACACAGCCACTGCGAGTGCAACAAACGTCCTACAAACAAAAAGCCAATAAGAGTAATTAATTAATGTATTCCGCAAAAAAGATGTAGAGACAATGGAAATAAATACTCAGCAAAATACAGACAGTTCATTCAGGTAACAAAGGTAAAGGCTGCACTGACACAACAAACACTGGAGAGAGAACCTCCCTCCAAACAGTGACAAGACCAAAAGATTACAAAAGGTTTGTTTTTTTATATTTTATTGTTTAAAAATTAAACTAAAAAAACATTAAGGAACAGCTTTGACACAGGCATTTTGTTTCTTAATGCAATGCTGAGCTATTTAAATGTCAAGCATATGCATTGGATTGATTTTAATAACTTTAATGTATTTGAGGTATGCCCTACGCATCGGATTAGGATTCGGTATAGGCAGATACTCAATATTAAATGACTGATTGTTTCACAGATTATCCGTCTCATGTACTACTGTCAGGACACAGTGAACATTTAAGCAAATATGACTAAAAGTTATTTTTATAAAAATGTACCTACTGCAGGATGGAGAAGGATTATGCCCTTTGAGTGGCAAAAGGGCGCTTAATGTGAAACATCCAACAAGTCCTGCAAATTAAACAACAAAATACATTGTTGTGTAATTGCCCTTTAGGACAACATGCTTTCAGAGCTGGGGGCAGTAGAAGTATTGTTGTAAATATTTTTTCTGAAATGAATTTGTAATTAGTTACACTACTTATTATTGGTGAAAGTATGTTATTATTTTAATTATTACTAGTACTGCCTTACTTAACACTAAGACGGTTTTATATAAAAATGTTGTGGAAAAGAACATTACTTTTAGAATACAGGCAGGAAGTGTTGCATTAACAATGCAAACAGGAGCGCACACAGCTTACTAAAATATACTTAAAACACTAATACCTCTATTACATAACTCTGGAATACACTACCTCATTTATTCAAGTTGTACATACGTTATCTTGTGTCTATCTATATTCATCTGTATTTATTTTGTGTATGTCCCTACATGATTCAACTGTTATTTTTCTTCGTACTCTCCAGCCTTTTCATTTACATATGCACATGCACAATGTGTTAAATGAAAAAAAAAAAAAAAAAGATATGAATTGAAAATGTGAGCCAAATGAAACCATCTGCAGTTGAGGTAAATATACTTGAGCATGTACGATCAAACAGTAAAAAAAAATGTCAAAGGAAGACATTTGCTTTTCTGATAAAAAGCAATTATTATTTTAATTGGAGATTGAACAGTTGAACAGTTGTCAGGTAAAATGACATATTCATGTGTCATTCTGCAGCTAGTTAGTTTATAGCTGTAATGAATTTACCTGAGATGAATTCACTTGCTTTGAAGTGACTCTGCATACGCTGAGGTGAAATGAACGGAGCCGAACTGATCAAAGAATTAAAGCCGAGAGTGGCGATGGAGTCAGTGACTGTGCTCTGAGCAGCTCTGTCACTACCGCGCTATATTTAGCCAACACACACCAACAAGCCCCACAACAGTAGGCACGCACTGACCCCCACCATCTGCTCACTCACACACACACACACACACACACACTCTCACATATACTGCCACACACCTTAAGGTTTTAATGCCAACTGCTGCCCACAGACCCCCCAGATAAACCCAGGTGGACTTATTTAGATTCCCATCACGAGGTGGTCTTAAACACACACACACAGGCAGGGGACTCCCCACTTTGCTGCCTCTTCCATAGAGTACATTTTCTCATTATGGCGGATGCATAGACTGTATGAGTATACAACAACAGGGCTTCCCAAAGACTCACTGTGAGAGCAGAGAGCTATGGGGAGCCATTTTAATGAGCTTGCCTATGTGTGTGTGTGTGTGTGTGTGTGTGTGTGTGTGTGTGTGTAGGTTCAGTCTCCATATATAATAACACATCTATCACACATTTCTCTCCCTCACACTGCTTCAATTATGGTAAAAGGACAAAATGACCCCACAGTGTTAGCATTACTCTTTTTTGTGTTCGCATTCATTTTCACATTCATACTCTGAGACATTATTACTCTTACAATACCTGTGCCTCGGAGTACCATTATTCACACACTCTCTGGACGTTTTGTTTTGAACTTGGAGATTTTCTGCCGCCTCCTGCAGCCAGAAATGAGACAAGACTTTACCCTGCTGCCTAAACTGAGATGTCACACTGATGTGTCTCCGCATAGAAAATCAATTACAAGAGCTGCGAAAGGTGCCTGAGACAGCAGCCAGTGTGATTTTTCTGGGGATACAGATCTATTTTCTGCTTCAATATGATACAATAAAAGAGATCATCTTTGGGTGTAAAAACACAGAACAAATATTTTCTGTCTATATTTTTTGGCGAGTAGCTCCAGGCATCTTAATGGAGTCATTCCTACATAAATGGTTGGTTTCTTTTTTAAATGTTTCTCATGTTACGCTGTTGACAGGAAGAATATGGGTTTAAGTTCTGTGTTTGAACTCTTTTTGTCAGCCTGCTCCTTACAAAGCACCCTCTTCTTCTACAAATTCCTCTGGTCATGCGCTTAAATCAGAGACATTGACAGAAATCAGTGATTTTTTTGGTGATCTGTTTAAGTGTTCAGACAGCGTTTTGTCCTCTGCACTTGAAAGATCGGAGCGTCAGGGTGAAGATGACAGTGTTGTTGTCCTCACATGCAGGCGCACAGCCTATTAGACAGGCAGACTGACAGTGCAGCCTAGTGGTAAAGCAACGGAGCCTCACACATGAACACACACTGCAGATCAGGGACAAACCAGCTACAGAGAATAAGGATGTCTGCCCGTATATGATGCGCAACTCTCACTTTTGTGTGTTTTTGTGTGTGTTTTGCTTTGCTCCATGCTTTATCGAGACATTGCACGTAGGCACAAGGCTCCCCTATACATGCTGTGGAGGAAGCATTATAAACTCACACAGAAACCCCTGTGTCTCCAGGCCTGAGGGGAGGGTGGAGGAAGGGGTTTGGCAGGCGTAGCGCTGCCTCAATTTGGCCTGGACACTCATCTCAACTAACTCTCCATCTCCTTCACTTAGCCGGCCAGCTGCATGTATGCTCACGCTCAATACTCAGGGACGTTCCTCGCTTACAGTCTTAAATATTTTGTAGGACGAGTAGAAGTCCTTCTCTCCTCGCCGTGTTGTGCGTGCGAGGCAGACGAAGCGGTCCCGGCAGCGATGCTTCAGCAGGAGCAGCCGAGCGGTGACAGTGTTGTGCTGCCATGTCCCAGGGCTTACAGGGCGTACAGTTCAGTTTGGAAACTCAGCACGGCACCAGTGCTGGCAGACCTCTGAGCAGGGTCGTGACACACTCACCCTGTACACACACACACACACACACACACACACACAGAGTAGACCTCAGTTACAAACTGAGAGAGCGGCTGGCACACAGGGCTGTGTTGGTAAATAAACTGTAAATCCTCAGATGGAAAAGAACATACAGTAACCCTGACAACTTTTATTCACAAAGAATAAACAAATGATCAAACACTAAACAATTGTAAATGGTATTTTAAAACCCAGGTATATCAAATCAAACAGTAGCAGTAGTAGCAGCAGTAAGTACTAAGTACACAAAATACTATTATTAACAGTAGTATTCTTATTAGAATTAAAAAACACAATTTTTATTAGTAGTAGTAGTAGTTGTTGTAACAGCACAAAGTAGCACATTAAGTATTATTAGCATGAATAACAATTGCATTATTATTATATATTATAGCAGTAGTACCAGTAATATTTTTGTCATTGTAGTAGTAATATTAACAGTATTTGTGGGAGTAGTAGTACAAATAACACAATACACGTTTTATTATTATTATTATTATTATTATTATACTATACTATTTGTAGCAGTAGCACTAAGCAGGTAGTGGAAGTTATAGTAGTGCCAACTACATACAAATAACACTAATATCATTATTAGTAGTATTATTAGCATTAATAGCAAAATCACATCATTTAATATTATTATTAGTAATAGTATAAAAAATACATAAATAATATACTGTATGCTGTAATAAATAGTATTCATATTATTATGACTTATGTTAGTATTAATTGTAGTAGCAGTGGTTGTAGTACAAAATAAAGATTACAAGTATATAACAACAGCTGACCTCATGGTGCATTTAAAAGCTGTGGTGGAGCTTTCCATTGCATCACGTGATCTTCATCAGGAGAACAGAGCAGCTGCTAAATGGACCTTACAGTATTATTACAGTATAATTACAGTATTATTACAATAGTATTAGTTTTACATCAGTTGAAGGTTATCATTGACTAAAAATCTTTCCCTATCAGCTTTGTGACTTCATGTCAACACTGCTCAGATCCCAGTGTGTATGTGTGTATGTGTGTGTGTGTGTGTGTGTGTGTGTGTGTGTTGCAGTATGACCAGAGTGGAAAAACCAATTGATCAGAACAGGTGCTGTGATCTGGCACATTTGCAGAGTTCCCCACCGTCACATCAATCAATACATGATCATAGTGCTTGAATAACACACACACACACACACACACACACACACACACACACACACAAAGCATGTAAGGACACACACTGCTCCACCTGGACATACTGTAGATAATAGCTTTATGAATACAATACAGGAGATCGATAACCGATCATTGTCCTTGAGCCTCGCAGACATGCTGCTGTTTTCAGTTCATCCCATCAGTCAGATATTTGCCACTGGGTAGGTGAGAGTGAGTGTGTGTGTGTGTGTGTGTGTGTGTGTGTGTGTGTGAGAAGCGAGCCAATGACAAATGAGGGTAAATAACAGAGAGAGAGAGAGAGAGAGAGAGAGAGAGAGAGAGAGAGAGAGAGAGAGAGAGAGAGAGAGAGAGAGAGAGGGAGGGAGGGATGCAGTGTGCCAGCTCATGACCCAGAGAGATAAACAGAAAGTGAGAGTTGGCCAGGCAGGTAGGATGGGAGGGTGTGGCAACGCAGGGAGCATTTAGTGTGCAGCGCCGGATGATCCCGCACTCTAATTGGCTGTTGAGACTTTGACAGACGCACTCGTCCCTCCCCCTATCCGGCTGCCTGCCGAAAGTGTATGTATGTATGTGTGTGTGTGCGCGGGGGAGCCGGCAGACTGAAGCGAGCCACAGAGGCAGGCTCTAACTCCAACCCAATGAGCTCACAGCCCCTCACACTCACACACACTCTTCACACACACACACTCACTCTCTCCTCAGTGCCGGCTCTCGCTCTTGCTTCAACCCTGGGACACAGAAGAGGAAGAAGGGAGAGGGGAGAGAGAGAGAGAGAGAGAGAGAGAGGAAGCGAGTGGCAGAGAGGGAGAGTGAGGGCGAGGGAGTAAGAGAGGAGAGAGGGAGAGAGAGGCAGAGGGAGACTGGCGGGGTGTGAGGGAGAACACCATGGCTTCAGATCCGGGGCTGGCTGCGATGCTGCTATGGACTATATCACTACAGGCTCTGGGCACCGCAGGAACTAACAGCAACGAAGGTAAGAGTGTGTGTGTGTGTGTGTGTGTGTGTGTGTGTGTGTGTGCCCATTTGAATAGTTAATGCATATTCTCTGACAGCGGGGATTAACTTCATACATGTGGAGCTCCTGGAAAACACAAGGAACCACGCATGACTCACACACACACCAACAAATGTATACACACACTTAGAAGGTGTGTTTGTGTGTCATAACCCGGGGCATGACATCAAAGTTTGCTCCGCACAACAACTCAGGGAAATCTGGGTGACGTCTATGTGTGTGTGTGTGTGTGAACTCGTCTTGACATTGCTCATATTTGCCCGGGTTGCGTGTCAGCTGCAGTCACAGCGCATGTGTGTGCTGTGGGGTTAGGCAGTGACGTGAAAGTGTGTGTGAGAGTGTGTGTGTGTGTGTGTGTGTCTCCGCGGTTCCATCCTATATGTGATCGAAGGTGAACATCTTTATGAATCTCACTTGTGTATTTTCCTTCTGAGCTTCTTAAATAGGGTGTGTGTGTTCTCGTCACACACACACACACACACACACACACACACACACACACACACACACACACACACACACACACTTTGATCCCTTAAGCCCAGCCTGGGTTTGTTTACTTCCATCCTCCTGTCCTTCATCTTTCTACCACGAGACGGAAAAACTGTTGTTGTCACTTGTTCAACTAATGCCGCACACACACACACACCACAAAGTCCCCCAGTGCCTTTCTTTATGTATGTGTGTCTGTGTCTGTGTGTATGTGTGTGTGCCTATGTCTGTGTGCGTGTGTGCGTATGTGTGTGTGTGCGTGTGTGTGTGTGTGTGTGTGTGACAGGGTCCTTGACATAGGTCTGGTCTCAGGAGGCTGAGTGACAGCAGTGATTCGACTGTTAGGGCCTCCTTCGCCCTGACGGCAACATTTCAGCTTACCACTGCTGGGAAAAAAGGCAGCAAAAGAAGAAAAAGAATAAGAAGTGTGAGAGATAGTGGGGGGGGGGGGATCAGCTCTGGTTCAGGTGGGATCCCCTCAGCGGTGGAGAGGTGAGGGCAGCCACTTATCCCGTAGTAAGCTGTGTAAAGTCGGGATGGGAGAGCAGGGGCGCCTCAGGTCAGACAGGGGAGAAAGCGAGGACCGCCGTGCAGACGGCCGGTACAGATCCAGGTGTGCACGTAAATCTTACGACAAGATTTCATTCATCCATTTTCCATGAGTCTGTTTTACTGTCCATCATGTGTCTGCAGATCTGAGTGTTTCCACTGAGTTAAACTGAAGGAAGGATTGCCGTCTTATCGATCATTCAGTCGCAAAAAAACAAATAACTTTAATATAATATTGTCTTTATAATCAATTATCATGTAATCGTATTGGTATGAATGGATGGTGATTTTGTCCATATATGTACAGATGGGTGACAATTTAAAGGAATCTCCTAGTCTCTAGAACCCTCTGCATTCTCCCATAGGTCATTTTCATTCTCATCAAACTGTTCAGTGACTCCTTGTGTCGCGTATTTGTCATTCATTCAGGTTTTTCCTTTAATTTGTCACCTGTCTGTGTGTGTGTGTGTGTACATATATGTACACATGCCTTACATAGGCATTTAACATAAATGATCCATTGTGTAATATGCAAACAGATTGGAGCTGGTTATATTTCATTCCAATATTTAGATTTTATTCCTTTTACTGTTAATTAATAGTTGACAGTATAGAGATAGACGGGAAACGTGGGGTTAGAAAGAGGGATAAGATGCAACAAACTTACCGTTTTAAAGTTGAAATCAAACCAGAGACATTGCGGTTATAGGTCATGCGCCGTGATGCCTTTACAGTTTTAAATTTGGTAATTTTGATTAAATTAAAATGGAGGAATGTAGTGCTGGAAATCCCCTAAAAGTGCAATTAAACTCTTATGTGACACTAAAACTGAACCTCATTGGAAATGATGTTACAATCCTACTAATAAAAGTGAGTTATTTAACAGAAGATACTCACAAACTGTTCAGTGGAACCCTGTGAATGGTCTGATTGGACTGAACAAAGTGTTGGAAAGTTGTGAGCTTTGAATAGTTGTCTGCGCCTCCCAAGGACTCTTTTATTTCTCCTGTCATGAGATGAAAACTGTTCAGCTTGAAACACAGAAAAAATGTGGTCCTATTTAGTTATTTAACATTGTAATCAATGTGAACCAATCGACTGATTTCTATTCACACCGGTTCGTGCTAGAAAGTCGTTCTCACTCTGTGAAAAAAAAAGCCACCAGAGAGTTGTGAATATAATGTTCCCCCAAAATTAGATTTTGCTCTTATCCCGGGCGCTAATTAATCTAAATAAACACAAGAAAAACAAATCAATTTTTCAAACATTCTGCAAAAGAGTAACCACTGCCTTCACTCTACTTTGGATGTGATTAGGGGCAAAATTGTAATTAAGCCCGAGCAAATAGTGGACGTCTAAAATTATATCTGATTGCGTTTTTAAAAAATGAGAGCGCCAAAAAATTAATTTCTCTCCTTCGCTTTGGTTTGGCTGCGGACCGACTGGAGGGCAATTACAAATATTACATGTACATGGAGGAGATAACCTTTGGAATGAATGAAGAGCTGGGAATAAAATTGGTGGAAGGACAGGTAACGGCTCACATAACCACACACAGTACACACACACACACACACACACACTGCTACAGACACACTAACACTCAAGAGCACTCACAAAAAACAAGTTTGTACTTATATTTGATGTACGAGCAGGAGCCAGGGCCAGCCATTTTGATTTTGTTCATTGGGCATGTTTGCAGTCATATTCATCTTGTGTAGATACATACACATGTGCTACTCTTATATGTGATTATTTGATCCACATCATAACTCAAGTGTCCTTCAAACCCTCTCATTTATTTATTTGCGTTGGGAATGCTGTGTGTGTGTGTGTGTGTGTGTGTGTGTGTGTGTGTGTGTGTGTGTGTGTGTACGGGGGAAGGAATGAGACAAAGGGAAAGCCAGTCTTAATATTTTGACATCTCGCAACGGGTTTGCGTATTTCTTCAATAGAACTCGTGAAATATTGAATCTTGCACTGAATCCTTTGTGCGCTCGAGAGAGGCTGTAATTATTATAGAGTCAGATTGCTGCATTTTTCTGTCCAGAAACAGACAAAAGAGAAGGGGCCGGAATCAGTAACAGACCAGCAGGGATGTAGTGGAGCTCAGCTTACCCACATACAGTATTTCACTCGTAGGGAGTTTATAAGCTGATGTGAAGCTTTACTTTCTTTATGTAACTTTTTTTTATTTTTTTATTTTCTGAGTTAATAAAAATGGGTCTGTTTTTTGTAATATGTGCATTTTTTGATAATCCAAAAGGTTTTGAAATGGCTTATTATTGCTAGGAGAATTTCCTCAATCCATGCAGGAATGCTTAATCCTTCAGTTTATCTAAAAATTAAAGATAAAATACAACCAAATTTGGAAATATATGGTTTTCAAGAAAGTTTTGTTAAAATGTTGTTTATAAAGCTGCAGTCTCAGCATAAAATATTGAAATTGAAAACATAAAAAAAAGAAAAATAACTACAAAAACTACATAATTATGATTTTTTTGTGTGCCTTTGGGACGTTGGGATAATCGGCATTAATGTAATAAGATGCGAATTATGTAGTCAGTTAAGTGTAAATTAATTTTTATTATTGTTATCATCAGTAGTATGGAGGCTCAAAATGATCAAAATAAGACTTTAAAAAAGAAAAAACAATACAGAGAATATATAAAAAACATGACCCAGAAATTGTGAAATAATCCAATACATTTTTAAATTTCCTGTTGGCTTATGATGAAACATTATGAAATGTTATTTCAGGTCATTTTTATTTCATCCCAGCTTTTGATTTCAAAATGTCTTTTTTCCTGAAAGTCTTTTAAAGTTTTCTGTTTCCCAACACCATTTTTCCAGATGACCGTCTTATTTCATAAAACTATTTTTCATCACAGAGTCTGACAATCAAACAGGGCAGACCAAAGCAGCCCATCACATAAATGTTGGGATATATTTCATAGTAATGTGTTTCACCATGTCTTAATTATTTATTTAATTTTGAACCCTCTGGGTCTCCATACTACCAATAATTACAATTCATGCACATACCATTATAATGTTTTCATAAATAATATTTATTCACGATTGTTTATTTCGTAACGTGTCACTTCTTTATTTAACAGTTTGGCACTCCATTTCCTCCAATAGAATAGCAAAACTGAGAACCCCACATTTTAGGTTTTGTTCCTCGCTGACAGCAAAGACTCAGCAAGCATGACAAACACGTCCTCGAACCCACTCCTGTGAAGTTTAAAGACGCTACAAACTCCAAACATCACCACAGTAAAAGTCCTTCGAACAATGTTTTCAAGGGAAAACACAGAATCTGTTTTTTTGCGGGACGAAAATGGCCACATGATGTTACTGGGTACTGATACTGCTATCAGTATTTAGAAAGATTGTTGTACTGTAGGCCAAACACATACTGTAGCTGAATCCAGCGGCTCCCACATTTGTTGTGTATTTGTGTGCACTGAATCACTTGCCTATATGGAGGTGGTGGTTTCCCTGAGCGGCCCCTCCTGTCTGCGGGCACCGTCCCTGATTCAACTCCTGCACGCTGCTTCACACCGTCGCATTCCCAGCGAGGATAGAGAGCGTTCCTTCAGGTTGTTGTTAGTGCTGAGGAACATGAAAAGACCCATGCAGAGAGCAGGACGCGTTGCTAATGAGCAAACTGTAGGTGGATGATTATTACCACATACCTCTGCTGCAGGAGGACCAACAGGGAGAGACACACACAGGCAGGGAGCGATGAATAGCAACAAAGATTTTTCTTCTCTTTTTTTTAATTATTATGAGATTTGAACATGTAATTTAGAAGCAACTAAAACGTGTGATGGGGATTGAAGAAATGAAGAGGGGAAAGTTGAAAGGAGCCGGACTGCTGGGAGCTGCAGTTTCTCTCTTTGTGCAACAAA